TGTCCACGAAGCACTGCCCCGCAAAGGCGGTGGTGGCATCTGAGGGAAGCACTTGCTGGGAGGATAGGTGGGGACAGCACCCGCGCTCCCTGGACGCTTCCCCTTCCCTGAGATCTTCCCAGCCACAGCTGCTTTTCCACCCTGGCAGCCGCACACCCACCCAGCCCATGCTGGAGGGACCTGCCCTTCCCTGGTGGCTCCCTCCGGCACTCTGCAGCACTACGTCCCCTGAGCACTAATGGAGTCCCGGACCCACCACAGGCACCTTGCGCTGCCTGGCAGGAATGGCTCCAAAGATGCTCAGTAAAGAGTGGCTGCCCCGTGCAAGCCCAGTGTTGCTCGTCAGCCCCACGCCAGGCAGGCACTGCTGCCTCCCCCTCCAAAGCATCACCCAGCAGACTTTCCAGACAAGAAAAACACTGCTGGATCCCTGTGTGTCTCCCAGTGCCCCTGTGGCACTGACCCTGAGTGTCCCAGCACTTACTGGAGAACTTGTCCCAGCGCACGCTGAAGGCGAAAGTGGGCCAGCCCCCCTCGCCAGGCTGCTGCTGGGCACCACTGAGGGGGGAGGCACGGGCACAGCTGCCAGCCAGGGTGACCCGGGTGAGGTATTTCCCCTGAAAGCCCCCGTCGTTCCTCACCGCCGAAATCTCCATCAGTGAGTCCTGCTCGTTCCTCCAGAGTCCACTGAGCTGGCACTGAAGGGACATGGCCACGGGCCCTCTGCCCCCACGTATGGCACAGAGAGAGACCCCATCCCTCCCATCCCACTGCCCCACACGGAAGCTGGGAGCCCTACTGTGGGGGTGGCTGTGGGGCACAGCTCTCCCTGTCCCCACTTTGGGGAAATGCTCCCCCAGGTGCTGCCAGCTGCTGAGCAGATGGTGCAGCCTGGCCAGTGTGTCCCAGCCCAGCAGCGTACATGGTGGCCCTGGGTACAGAACCCGGGGGAAGAGATATTCAATGTATGGTACCCCTGGGCACAGACCCTGCAGGAGGGGATGCCCTGGGCACAGTGCCCCAAACCCTATGGAAAGGGGATGCCCCATGCATGGTGCCCCAGGCACAGATCCCATGGGAAGGGTTGCCCTGTGCACAGTGTCCTGGGCATGGATGCCATGAGAGGAGATGCCCTGTACCCCCAGGCAGAGACGCCATGGGAAGGGATGACCCATGCATGGTAACCCTGGGCACAGACCCTGCAAGAGGGATGTCCCATGCATGGTGCTCCTGTGGGAGCAAAGCTTTGTGGATATGATGACCAGGTGGCTGGAACTGACACAGAGATACCCTGCCCATTGCCTGGGCTAGGTGCTTGCAAAGCTCTCCTGCTTGTCCCAGCCTAAAATGCCATTTAAGAGAGGACCCCCCGGCTGCCCACGCTGCATCCCAGTGCCATGTCTGCTGCTTTCCCATCATCACTCGTCCCCATACCTTCCTCTCCGCAGGGGTGATGCATGCCACCAGGGCCAGGGTGAGGACCAAGGCGAAAATGTTGCTTCCCATGGCCACAGGGCTGTGAATGCCTGGCACGGCTCCCTCCCGGCCCCGTGCCCCAGCCCCCTTTATAGGGCTGTAACCGGAGCCCTGCCGGCGCCAGGTTGGCAACTGTGGGGTGGGTAGCCTGGTGGCAAAGCGCCCAGAACAGGCGAGGTGAGGAGGTCTGCATGACCTGGGCAGCACCAGAGGAACGTGGGGACGAGCACGGCTGTTGAGAGAGGCGGGGGCACAGGGATGGTTTGCACATCCACTCTCCAAGAGGCTCTGCGTGACTGAGTCTTTGGGGTGGGCACAGCCTGGCACTGCCCCACTGCCACCATCCCAGTGCTGCCACCCAAACACAGTGCTGCAGCAAGCACAGCCCGAATAGCTCTTCTCCACTGCGCTGAAGGGAGGTGTGTCTGCCCACAGGAGTCCATCCTCATGCCAGTCCCCTCCTGCACTACAGGTTTCACCTGCTGTTTCTAATCTGTTTTTTCTCCTGGCTGTGCTGGGCTTTCCCTGGGTCTGGGAGCTGTGACTGTCACTGCAGCAGGAGCTCAGGGGCACTCCAGAATTAATTCCTCTTGTCAGTGCAGAAGGGTTTTTCTGGAAGATACGTAGATATTGACATTTTCTTGTCTTCATGGAGGGAATGCCCTGTGCATGGTGTTCCCATGCACAGACCTCATGGGAGATGATGCCACATGCATGGTGCTTTGAGGCTAGGCAGGGTACAGCTACACAGCAGAGCCCTCTCTGAGCCCTTCCGAGGGGTCCCTAATGGTGCAAGACCATAACAAGGACAGGCAGGTGGGCAGGGGTCCTCAGACCTCCTGGATCTTGCACAACCACGTCCTCCAAGATCTCTCTGCAATCAGGTGAACATGTCTCTGCTGATGCTGAGGCAAAGAGAGAGCTGGCACCTGGTGTGTCCAGTTCAGGAGGGATCTCTCTGGCCCCTGCCATGCACAGGGGATGAGCATCTGCTCCTAGCATCCTCCAGAGTCACATCTGCCCCAGGCTTGAAGGCACCAGAGGGACACTCTCCTCTTCCCAGGGAGTGGGATGTGGTGATGTTCACATGCAAATTATGCTTTAACTTCTAAAATTAGAGTAGCTGCCTTCAACTCCCATCCCAGGGACTTGCTCCAAAAGCCCTTGGGGTCCCATGGGTGCAGCCCCAGCACAGAGCAGGGATGGAGAAGTGTCCTGAAGCCCTGCTCTGCCCGGGGCTCACCCACTGGCTTTCCAGTAATCCTCAAGGCTGTCAACCTCATCTTGCGTGAGTCAAACAGTCCTCCATATTTCCTTCCCATCCTCATCCACGATGCAGCAGCCCAGGGAGGCAGTGGCAAAGACTGCAGGGAAGGGGTGGGAAGTGAGAGTGCTGAGATAGAGTTTTCCCTTTGTTAGGCAGCCAGCTTATCGATTTGGGAGTGGGTGATGCTTCCCTTCCCAGCCTTCTGTCCTGCGGGGACCAGGTACACAGCAGCGGACCTGCATGGAATACATAGGACATGGGAGGATAAGCCTGCATCCAGTTCTGCCTCATCCTTGGGCAGGACCTGCCTGGACAAGAGCCAGCGGTAGGATCTGTGAGGTGCCACCAGCCATGCAGCTCTGGGGCTGGGGATGGAGGAGCACTGGGGATGCCACAGGAGGGCAGAGGACCATCAAGGACACCACAGGGAGGGCTAGGGCGCTCTGAGAACACTGTAGAGATGGAGAAGTATTGAGGGCACCACAGAGGAAGGTGAGGGATGGTAAAGCGTACTGCAGGGAGCACAGAAGAGCATCAGGGACATCACAGGGAGGGCAGGGGAGCTCTGAGGACACCACAGGGAGGCTGGGAAAAAAGAAGCATCTGAAAAGCTCCAGTAGACAGTGAAGCCGAAGGTGGGCTGGTCCTTCTGGTTCCTGTGGTGCTGGAACCCCTGCAGCGGTGACAGCTGGATCTTGTTCGTGGTGACAGTCACAGCCCTGTGGTAGGAGCCAGCAAAGTCACCTTTCTCCTTCATGGCTATGATGGTCATGCTGGAGCCCAGACGGCTGATTCAGTGGCCGGTCAGCACACACTGAAGCAGAGGGAGCTCAGTGTTGGTGCCGCAGCACAGCCCAGGCGCAGGCAGGGCAGCAGGAGCAGGCACCCTTGGAGCCGCAGAGGGAAAGATGGACAAGTGTGAGTCCTCCATTCACCCAAAAGTACACACTGTCCAGCGTGATGAGCTCAGGTGTGGGTTGTGGAGGCAGGTCACGTCTGAAAGGGTGCCCTGGATCCTGGCCAGCCCCAGGAAGCTCTGAGGACCTGGATCCGAGGAGCTCCTCCATCCTCCCAGGATGATGGTCCGTGCTCAGCGAGGCTGAAGCCAGAGCTGGGCGAGGAGAGAGGTGGAGGAGCAGAACAGGGTGCGCAGTCCTGACTGTGGGGCTGACAGGAATGATGACCACATGAACATGGCAGAGTAGCTATGGGACTTCATCTCTAAGTGAAGTTATAGGCTTGAAAATCAGATTTATTCTTTTGTCATCACTGCAGTGTGGCTTGGTACCCAGCTGTGTCCACGCACGCACCCAGACCAACCAGCCATGGAGTCCCTGGGTGACCTGGGAACTCCCTGGCTCCACCTGCTTAGGTGGGACAACAGCTGAACTGACCAGATGTTGGGCACTGAGATGTTGGGCACCGAGATGTTCAGTGGTGAGACATTTGTAACCAGTCAATAGGAACAGTCCCTATGCAAATGGTGGCCTAGGACAGTCTTCTACATGTGGTTAAGACGTGCTGGAGGACTCCTGCAATGGAGACTCCTTCTCCATCTGGACAGGGACTGACTGTTTGAGGGATTTGATTCCCTAGATGAGCACGCCAAGATCTCAATAAATTATTTTTTCCTGTTTTTAACCAATATGCTATGTGTGAGCACCTGCGCAACACAGATATGGCAGCAGCAACACGCTGTGAGTGACTGCAAGGTTGCCTCCTGCCTCCTCCAGCTCCCCGTGCCCCTGAAGGCATTGACAGTGCGTGAACAACCACAACCAAGGCTTGTGATGCAGCAGCAATGACTGGTTTTCCTCCTAGAGGGAGGTCTGCAGTGGGGCTGAAGGGAACCCTGCTGCTCACAAGCAGGGTTGCCCATGAGCCCAAGCTGGAAGGAGGCAAATGGTGCTGGGTTTGCAGCTCAGAGGGGAAGAGTGGACATGGGCAGTGTGCAAAGCGCTGCCAACAGGTCTTGCAGCTGGGTAAAACTCAGTGCTGATGAATGCCCAACGCCCATGGGGAAGCATCCTCAGCCACAGCCCCCCCTCAGGCCCCTGTGGGCACCTCTGGCACACCATGTCCGATCACCCACCACCCCAAAATTGAGATGCTAGATGCGTCACAGCCTTGCTGGTTGCCCTGTTATAGAGACTGATCTTGTGAACAGCTCTGCCAGTCCGTGCTCACTTCATTTCTCACCAGCATCGTGGCTGCCTGCAAGAGTTCGCAGACTGCTCAAGCTGTAGTCAGTAGTGCTGCCTTGCTGGAGCACCCCAAGACTGCTACACAGCCTCCGGGGAGCCCTGCCCTGGGGAAATGATGTTGACATGAAGGCAATAATAAAGTCAGGAGGATGCATGCAGTAAGGCTGCAGGTTAGAGAGACAGCCCACCATGGAGCTGACCATGTTCAGGAGTGAAGGCAGAGTTCTGTGATCCTGCTGCCACCCTTTTTCCTAATTCTCATGTTCCTCTACCACAGGCAAAAGACTGCACAGACCAAAGGACACCATAGCAGAGGGCTGATGTAAAGACATTCACCTCAAAAAGGCTGTAAGGGAACTGAAAAAGATGGAAAAATTCCAGGAAGGCACCAAGAAGGAAACAGCATCACCACTCCAGAAGCAGACGACAGACATAAGGGAGAAAAACGTGAAAAGCAAACCACGTGCAAGTCTGCAACAGGGCAGGCTAAAACACAGAGCACGTAAAAAAGTTGCTAAGCCACAGGCGGTGTTAGGAAAGCTCTCCCATGGCATTTGTGGCAGGAAAACCAGGGGAGCAGAGGGAGGTGGCAGCCCCACCAGCCCACTCCTGCCTTTAGGCTGCTCAAATCCTAGGCAGGGTGCCAGTGAGAAGCATGCAGCACTGTTCGGAGTTATTTTGGGACTGGAGACTGGACAGCTTGAGGACTAAGTTTCAGATTCAGATCTGGAGCTGCGTTTCCTGGAAATCACTTGTTTTGCCTGGGAGGTGTGACTCAGGCAGCACCGGTACTGCCTGTTCAGTCATAAAGCCTGGCAGGCAGGGGTCTGGGGCCGGATTTACTGGATGTCCACTTTCCCGTAAATCACACGCATTTAGCTAAGAAGAGTTTTAGGGCTGGATGTGCTGCAGCTACCAGTGCTGTGCTGCCAGTACGGAGCAGGCTTCGCCGCCCACCCCTAGTGTGGATACAGCCAAGAGCCCACACCCACCCACCTGAGGGGTGCCTCAGTGCAGGGCGGGCACTCAGCCAGCTTTTTGGGGTGCAGAAGGGCCCCCCAGCTTACCCTCCCACCACTCTCACCCAGCATCAAGCACAGAAGGGCCAGTGCTGGCCTGTGCTTGGTGTCAGAGGGTCACTTTGGGGATGCACTATCCCATTTAGGCTGGAAAAGGGGCTCTCTTGTGGAGGAGTCAGAGGGTGAGAGCTTCATCCCACACCTGCCACAGTGCTTTAGCCTGACTTCCCCAGGACATATTCACAGACTGCACAAGGTTGGGTTTAAAGCAAAAAAATTTATTTGTTTTTTGTGGACATCTTCCCCTGGAGCTGATAACAAGCTCGATGCTGGTGCACACTGATGCTGCTGAGGATTCTCCCAGTCTCCCAAGCCTGGCTGAAGTGAGAGGGTTCTTCCTCCTCCTTTCAGTCCATCCGAGTGAAGATGTTGCGGCCAGTCCTGCAGAGGAGCAGAACCCTGTGGGTGCCTGGCTGGTGGAGAAGCAGGAATCCCAGCCAGGTGTCCCTTGGCTCACCTGGTGGCTTTCCAGTCGCTGGGCAGGGAGTCAACCTTCTCCCGCAGTAGCCAGGAGGTCTGCAGGATCTCATCCTCACCTTCCCCAGCAAAGCACTGGCCAACGAAAACAGCTGTGGAGTCTGACAGAGCAGTGGCTGTTAGCATCCCAGCGGGACCCCAGCTGCTTTTGGGGTGGGTCCCAATGGTCATAGGGAAATGCTCTGTGGCAGAGATGCTGTCAAAGTAACTCTCGATGCTGCCTAGCCTGAACAGTGTTTCAAGAGGTGTCCTTCTGTCTGCAGACACCATACAGAGTGGGGAGAGAACAGCAAAGGACAGAAAGGAGATAGGAGAGGGAACAGAGGGGTCTGGGTGGACACTGGGACCTGCCTGAACTCCCCTCCTCATCCCACCACCGTACTCAGGCAAGACTACCGCTACAGCTACTAACCAGAAAACTTCTTCCAGTTGACAGTGAAGCCGAAGGTGCACTGCCCGTCCTCATCCAAGTGCTGGGAGCCAATGAGAGGGGACGGCTGGATGGGTTTCTTCGCACTTGACACAGCGGTGTGGTACTCACCAGAGAAGTTGCCCTCACCATCGACTGTGGTCACATGCATCCTGGAGCCCAGTTCATTCCCCCCCCAGCCAGTCAGGTTGCATGCCTGGAGGACGAGCAGATGTGTCCCTTGGGGTTGCCTGCACACAGTCCCTACGCCTGCCCCGTGGGTCGAGCCCTCTGCCTGTGCCTCTTCCCCGATGCCCATGGGGTGCTGTCTTCACCTTGCTGTTCCTCTTAGGGTGTTTCTGCTCGCGGCTCGGCCACCACTTCTTGCCAGCCTTTTCGCCCTTGGAGGTCTCGGCTGCCTGGCAGAGGAGCTTGGAAAAGAAAGAAAAGACAGGGGCAAGCTGTGGGCAGCATCACAGCAGGGTGTTTCCAGAGCCCTGTGAGCTTTTAGTACACACGATTTATAAAGTCGATGCCATCTCAGCCATGTCAGGAGGGCCAAAAGCCGAGGTAAGCTGAGCAGAAGGGGAGAGGTGAAGAGAAGCTAAAGGCAGGAGCCCCAGACATGCAGGACCTCTCTGCTCCACCCCTGCCAGGTGAGCCCTGCAACCCCAGACCACATCTGCCCATGCATGTTGAGGATGTGTGGCATGAGTGGAGAGCCCACTGGGGTGGGCAGAGCCTTCGGGTTCACGGTGGGCACCTGCATAGCCAAGGAGGCGGCACAGCCACAACATCCCACCTGCAAGGCTCCAGCTCCTCCTCCAAGAGGACTGCCTGTCCTCTCACACCCCACCTCCCCGGGCAGGGACAAGCCACCCCCCAGGGACCCCAGGTTACCCCTGCCCCAATTCCCCTGCATGTCCTCACGGCAGGGGTCCCCACGTGCATGCCCCTCTGGACCAGGGAAGGGATCTCCGTGCACATCCCTCCTGTGACAGGGACAACCCCGGAGCATCCCCCCTCACCTCGGAGCATTTCTCTTCAGTGCCCCCCCCCTAGAGCAGGGGGTCCCCCTGCAGCCGGGGATTCCCTCCGCGGGTGGGTCTTCCTCGCGTGTTCCTCCCCTCCAAGCACTGTGGCTCCCACATATGCCCCCCCGGGGTGTCTCCCACGCGTGTCCCTCTCCGGATCACGAGACCCCCACGCGTATCCTCGTGCAGCCTCCCCCGGGGTCGATCTTCCCACGCGTGTCCCCGCTCCCACGCGCATCCCCGCTCCCACCTGGTTCCC